ATAGCATCCGGTCCTGTGTTGCTGTTAGCTGTTGAATCTCCCGGAGCAGTCGTTGTATTCGACGTTCCATTCTTCATTATTGTTTTCGCAGCTGTTGGTGCTATGCTTATCGCATCCCTGGTTAAGGGCAACGGTGTCGATTGTCGTTTGTTCCTTTGTGGTTCTGCAAAGTCAACTCTGGTGCCTTGCGTACGATCCGCTGCCGGTCTTTCTTGTGGAGTAGAACCTCTCAAGATTGCATCCAACTTCGCCTGTATTGCACACGAACTCTCGGCTTGACTCTTGCTCATTGTGTCCATTCTCCTTTCCAGGCTCCCTAATTGGCTGTTGACATCATCATATCGGTTCTTCAACTGTTGCATGTCTGTTTTGATGTTCTTTTCTCGTTCTTCATTGGTGGCTTCTACCTTATCTGACATTTCCTTGAGTCTCTCCTCTGTTGCCTTAGCTAGGTTAAAATAACTGTCTAGATACTCGTGCTTGTTGTATCTTATCTCCTTTTTTATCACCTCTCTGTCTTCTTCACTGTTCTTGAGTCTTTTGTCGATCTGATTTAATTTCGCCAACAAGTCGCCCAGCTCAATGGTAGTCTCTTCATGGTCAGCCGTGAGTTTCTCTTCGGCCGTAGCCTCTGCTTTAGCTTGTTCCTCATTCTGGCCGGTTTCTGTCGTTTTCGTGCTCACTGTACCAAATGTTCGTGCTCTTTCTGCTTTTGGTTCTTCAGTCACGTTTTCTTTCGTTTTTATTCCGAACATTATTCCCAATTTTTCCGTAAAAGATGTCCTCTTTACTTGAGAGTCTTCTTTCACCGTTTCTTCGGTGTTGCCTATTGCATCTTCCGCGTCATCTATCGGTGAGAACTCTATGGGTTTCTGTTTCGGTTCCTCTGCATTGGGCATTGGAGTTGACTCTGTCGCCATCTTCCTTGTTTCATCCACACTTTGATCGGGTGTCTCTAGATCAATCTCGATGGTGGGTTCTACTCGCTCCCCTTCCGTGCCCTCTTTCGCCCTGTTCTCCGCTGTACTCCTTGTGCTGACCATGTTAACTGAAAAGTTCGTCTTCGTTATCTTTGGGCCCGTTGATGTCGTTCCGCGCAGCGATGAATTATATTTCGTGTTTGATCCACTTGACCTTTTTTCGAGCACCGGTACCCTACTCCGCCTCATTATTTCTATTTACAACTGCTTTTATTTACAATTTTATTATATACACGATTCTATTCTAAGGGTAAAAAAAAAAAAAAATATTTTTTGTGGTAACAAATTCTGTACAACGTGTTAAAAACCTTATCCAATTCTCTTCCTAAAACCTCCGAAAAATTTTCCTTAATTTGGTCTTAACCCTACCTATTTCGATTTGTCTTATTCTGTCTTAAAACGCACTTGTTGTAATTTGACTTCAATTTCTATACCGTCCCAAGACTATTCGTCACTATCACAGTACTCTCCGTTAGTGTCCTAAGACCCTTGTACCAAGACCACTGTTCCAAGACTAGTGTCCCAAGACTACTGTCCCAAGACCAGTGTCCCAAGGCTAGTGTCCCAAGACTACTGTCCCAAGGCTAGTGTCCCAAGGCTAGTGTCCCAAGACTACTGTCCCAAGGGTAGTGTCCCAAGACCAGTGTCCCAAGACTACTGTCCCAAGACTAGTGTCCCAAGGCTAGTGTCCCAAGACTACTGTCCCAAGACTAGTGTCCCAAGGGTAGTGTCCCAAGACCAGTGTCCCAAGGCTGGTATCCCAAGACTAGTGTCCCAAGACTAGTGTCCCAAGGGCAGTGTCCCAAGACCAGTGTCCCAAGGCTGGTGTCCCAAGACTAGTGTTCCAAGACTAGTGTCCCAAGACCACTGTCCCAAGACTGTCCCAAGACCACTGTCCCAAGACCCTGTCCCAAGACCACTGTCCCAAGACCCCTGTCCCAAGACCCTGTCCCAAGACCACTGTCCCAAGACCCTGTCCCAAGACCCTGTCCCAAGACCACTGTCCCAAGACCCCTGTCCCAAGACCCTGTCCCAAGACCACTGTCCCAAGACCCTGTCCCAAGACCACTGTCCCAAGACCACTGTCCCAAGACCCTGTCCCAAGACCACTGTCCCAAGACCACTGTCCCAAGACCCTGTCCCAAGACCACTGTCCCAAGACTCTGTCCCAAGACCACTGTCCCAAGACCCTGTCCCAAGACCACTGTCCCAAGACCCTGTCCCAAGACCACTATCCCAAGACTGCTCTGTCCCAAGACTTCTTCGGTCTTGTCCCAATACTCGTCACGGAGTGTCTTCCTCGTTGTAGGGTCTTCTTGAACCACCGTACCTTGTACCACCACTCAAGCTCTAGTAAAATTTTCCCAAAAACCCTCTCTTAAAAGCCAAATGCTGACCCCCCTCTTCTTTTTGGTTGTTTCTATTTCAATGTAGGTGCGCAGGTATCTTGTGATCACCTGTTCGTATAAAACCAAACACAAATCCTCAATAAAATGCAACAAAAATTTTAAGTAAGAAAAATAATAAAAACAGAAAAATGAGCCCACCTAAAATTTAAAGGTGACCAATGTCTACCTTTCGTCTAAAAAAAAAAATTGTCTGGTACCTAATTGCCACGCGTTTTCCTCCCCCCACTAGTGATCTTATGGGGTATCACAAAAGCTGTCTATATCCGGTCCCCCCTACCAAACCAACCAGCGTACCAGTCTTAACTCGAGTTGAATTTTGGATCTCCACCTAATATTACCAACGCGTGTTAATTTCTAATGTAACTAAGTCAACGATGTCGACTAATTAGTTACTCTAATTTCCCCCTTTTTACAATTTACAACCGCCAACCTCTAACTTAACCAGTCCCCCTTCTAACCTCCCCCCTTTCTAGCCCCCCTTCTTAAGCCTAAAAATTACTTTAAGCGCCGGGTGCTAAACCTCTCAAGAGAAAACCGTAGACCTGTTTCCAGGCCTGCTCAAGTAAAAACGTTCCTCAAAACTGGGGGATTTCGCTTATCCAATTTTACACTTATCTCCTATAATGTAATGTGGATTCTAACGATACCCGTTCTGCCCAACTTGAGAACTCGAGAATTGCCAAATCCCTCTTGGCTGCTTTCCCACTCGACTGGTCACCTGTTCCAGTCCAGTCTCCTATTGGTTCAGCTAAGTGTCCCTGAACCACTTTCCCACTCGGCTGGTCACCTCTTCCAATCAAGTCTCCTATTGGTTCAGCTCAAGTGTCCCTGAACCACTTTCCCACTCGGCTGGTCACCTCTTCCAGTCAAGTCTCCTATTGGTCCAGCTAAGTTCCAAGCTATCTGAAAACCCTTGACAACGCCCCACTTCGGGCACTTTATTCAGTTTACTGGTTTAAATTGCTAGGTTGATCGAAACGATCGAACTTGTAAAACAGTATGGGTATACTATTTAATTAATATAAAGGTTTGATCCAACTAATCTGGTGTCAAAGTCACTGTCTTTTTTCGTTTTATGGTTTTTGTTCCTCTTTCTATTCTTTTTTGGTTTTTGTTTTGCTTTTTGTCTTTTTGCTCGTGTTTTTGTCCCCCTAGTTGCCCCCCTTTACTCGGTTAGCTAAGCCTCGTTCGGAGAGCGTACCAGGAAATTTTCTCGAGTTTTCTTAAAAAGCTATCACGGTACAACCGGAAGGTTTGCACGTTCCTGTCGAACCGTACCGCCGGTACTCTAGAATGGGCATTCAGCCCGAAGCTGTCTCAAGTGGGTTCGACTCCGTAGTCTTGATGTCGTAAACACCCAGGAGCGCCATAAAAACACTATGTAACATTCGTCTACTACAGTCACACATGAGGCTTAAGAAAAATAGGCCCTATAACTATTGGCTCAGGAGTCAGGGACACTATCTCTTGTGTTTTTCCACCTCAAATCAGTCGGAGCCAATTCGGTTCGCTTGTGACATGAGACTACGACCCGCTACTGCTTAAGGCTACTACCAAAATATCCCCCCACTCTAGAATTAAGAACGTCCCCATACTTAGGTCTCAAAATACCCAAAATACATGAACGCCGTTAAAAACCGGGTTGGAACAATCCGTTAAGTTGCTTTTTTATTAGACAGTGGAACTTTGATCCATTTCAGATGGATCAACCTAAAACTCGCCTTACCTCAACATAACAATCATAAAACACACTCTAGAAATTTAAATTAAGGACTCACATGTTGATGCGCTCAAGAACCAGGAAGTAATTAAATGGGTGAGCAACTCTAGAATTAACTAAGGTAACTAGATAAGTTCAATGTTTATCAGTTTGAATGGTAAGGGTAAGTTTGAACTCAAGAACGAAGTTTTATGTGGACCATTGGGACACTCAAGCTGTCCACCTTTCCGTCGAAGGTTCACTCTGGTTCAGTTCGAATAATTACTCTCTCGGGAATACTCTGTCTTCTATTTCAGATAGGACAGCTCTACTCTTGTTCACTATGATGGAAATTGCGAATAGCAATTTCCCACTCGTTTTTTATATGACAACTTTCCCGCAATTGTTCTAAAATTGTTCTCTTTTCTTTTTTCTGATTTTCAGTTCTCGCGAGAAAATCGTGCATGACATGTTCCATTCGAAATTTTTAAAATTTAAATTTCACTCCAAAATCAAGTGTTTTCTGCTCTTCTCAAGGTCAAACTTCCAAATATGACCGACTGGCACATATCTGCTATAATCGAGGAGGGTAGATTTTAATTGACAATTCTCTTGATGCATTAATATCGACTTGATTTTTTCATAAATTCATAAAAATTTTGCCGATGGATTTATATAGCGTTGGTTCGTCCCTATCTAACCTGTGCACATACCGTCGCATGACGGAAGGGCCCCTTTTAATTGACCCCTTTTCTTTAAAAAAAATATGATGTTTAAGTTGTGATTCACAGTTTTTCATGATCATTTTCTTTTATTATATAATCCTAACGATGCACAAAGTGTGCGAAAACATTTCAATTGACAATTTAAAAATCCGATTAAAAGATATATTAGGGGCATCGTTTCAGAATTTAACAATGGGTCTTTTGACTATCCTGAAGAAAATGAAAATCAAAGAGCGCGAAATGCGAATCCTTATCCTGGGTTTGGATAACGCTGGAAAAAGCACAATTCTGAAAAGAATTATGGGAGAAGATATTTCAGAAATAAGCCCGACGGTAGGCTTCAACATAGAAACTCTTGAATTTGAGGGTTTCAAATTAAACCTCTGGGATGTTGGTGGTCAAAAATCTCTTCGTAGTTACTGGAGGAATTACTTCGAAGCAACTGATGGTCTCATTTGGGTTGTGGATACCAGCGACAAAAGGCGAATGGCTGATTGCAGAAATGAATTGCATGCTCTTTTACAGGAGGAAAGGTTGTTAGGAGCATCACTGCTTGTTTTCGCTAACAAAATCGATTTGCCTAATTCATGTCAGTGGAAAGAAGTGGAAGAACAACTCAATTTGAAACTAATGGATGGAAGCCACCACTGGACAGTTCAGCCTTGCAGTGCAGTTACTGGCGAGAACTTGATAACGGGCATTCAATGGATGGTTGGGGATATCTCACAAAGACTTTTTACATTAGACTGACTCATATTGTTCTACTGCTTTGTCTCAATGAGGTTAGCGAAGATAAATTCTTATGTGCAGTGAAGATGAAACCTAAATTTTTAGCGAACTATAGGTGTAAATTTGTAAATATGTTTTCTAGTCAATTCATGTTGATGATAGAGATCATGAAAGCTTGCCATCTCTAATTAATGCAAACTAGGCGATAAAGGTTTCACTCTTGCGAGTAGAAAGCGCTATCAAATCGGAGTATAGACTTTTTTTGTCGTGTAAACAACTTACTTAACAGAATCACTTGTATCTTGGTTCATAATGAATTCAAACTTCTAGGCGTATCCGTCACTTAGCGTGGAGGCGAAGAATACGCCTGGGACGGCAAAGGCTGTGGGTTCTAATCTGACTAGGAACTTTTTTTTCAAACTGGAAATATTATTTCCAAAAATTTTCAATGTAGTTGCTTTTAGTGTTTTGAATAACTCCTGCTATTTTTGGTTTTTACTAACCATCACTTCGTATATTTTGCTGTTTTTTTTCGGCTTAAATTTTATCGGCTTAGTGAACTAATTTGGGGTCATTGCAAGGGAAACATGCGTTTTATGCTTCATACCGGATCGCACAGAATGCAGAATGACAGTATCTCTATTTTCAGTTCAACGGGAAATTATTTAAGTGTCGTCGGCTCAGTTGCCGCTTATTAATTATTTTTTCAATTATCATTAGTTATCGTTGATTGTGTTTCTGGACGCGTTTTCTGCAAATAAAAATTGATTCCAGACAAAGTTTAGATTTTTTATAAGTTGTGGCTTTATGAAGATTTTTTTTGAAGTTTTTTGGGCTTAGTGGCTTTCTTTTCCTGTCTGCTAGCTTGCACTGCTGTTTTTATGAGGTATCGCAAGTGGTTTTGTGGTTCGAAGCTCCACTTCGCACCTGTGTTTAAACTTTGTTTTTAAAAATCTGGCATATCAAATTTTCGCACAAGCTTTACCGGCTAAAACTGAGCCAATGTTTTCGAAATTCTGCCCCCGAGAATAATTCATAGATCTGCCCTAAGCGCAATATAGAATTTTTACTCTCAGAGATATGTTTCAAATCACATTCATTTTCAGAAATGATGTAGTTGTAAATAGCGTTCGATTGGCGTACGAGCTTATTATTCCCTGTACATTAAACATGGTCACGGATTTTTACTTTGCGGAGCTACTCGGTACTATGGACTAAGGAACTGTGCAAAATGGAAGTTCCCCAATCCCGCCTTCTCCCTCTACTCAACAATAATTCGCAAAGAGCAAGTGCAAACGGATCAAACGAAGTTTCTGTGGATACCCTCGCAAAGACATCCATTGCGGACGATTTCAGTATGATGTCTCTGACAAGTAATATAACGTGTATTTGATTGCGATTTTTGTTTAAGTGTAACTGAACGTAGTGAAGACAGTAATTTTTATTTTGACCATATAGCGGGTCTAAATTTGAGTTTTTAGTTTGCTTCCAATCAAATTTGGGTATCGCTATAAACTTCGTGAAAAAAAGGGGATTAATCATTTTTTTTGCCCTTTCAACCTTGATTCTAGTTGCTTAACTTTCATTAAATGCAACTTCTTTCGCCATATCCGCAGCTAATTTCGCATGCCAGCAACTAATCAAATCATAATTCGATTGTCAGCAAGTACACAGACTTGTTTTCGGATTTTTAAAAAAAAGTGCGCACTAATTTAAATTTGGTGGTTCGACTTATAAAGCTCGATTTTCAAATTATTTCAAGCAGCGTTAATATTTTTCTCTGCAAAAACCATCTATATCTATATATTATTATATATTTAATTGCGGGGATCACAAGCTTGCCATGTTTACACAAGCAAAGCTTGTGTGATAGTATGAACTCTTTTTTCTCAATCTAAGTCGCAAATATTGTTGCGACAAAATGTGTTCATTTTGATCAATAACCAGATAATAAGTACAGCCAATGCTAAAGATTTTAACTCAGACTATTATATTACAAATAGCATTTTAGCAAGGTATCATGGATCTGTAACATAGAGGCACGGAAGCAGACCCGCAACAAAATAGGAGGGTTCGAATCTGGGCAGGGTCGGATGTTTTTAATGAGTTTTTTCGTAGACTAGTTGAAATGCGTCTGCTCTAAAAATTGAGGTAATAAATTGGTAAAATTCTTTTTTTTTTAATTGACTGGTACTGCTAATGCGTATTGGCGTGGGTCACTTAAGAATTTTTGCAGACTCAAAGTTTTACTGATTCAGTTTTTTCCTGTAGCGTTATCGGTTATATTTTTGTTTGTGCATGGGAAGTGCAACTTTGCCTTTGTGTTAAGATTTTTCAGCGTTTTCTGTTTGCATGTTAAACGATTTTTTTAACGTTTAAGCTATATCTTCTATTGCAAGGGTCAAGAATTTGTATTCAATTTTCCAGGTTGAATTCAGTGCTTATTTCATCAAGTTTGAAATTAGCAACCTAATCGTGGGATACTATCAGGGTTCCCCCAGGGGTTGCGACTTTTATGCCAGGGTAGTCACAGGGATTGGTGATCCTTTTAATTCTTAAATTGTGACTGGATTAATCCCTTTAGTGTCCGAGATGTTCTTAAAAAAGGTTCAGTAAAAAAACAGATTCTCAATCCCGTAGTAGAGAGCTCTCAGGGAGGTCTCAGTTATTGCAGTTTTGGCTTCGACTGCTAAAGTCGTTTTAAATTCTGACAAATGCGTTTTTATGGATATGACGAAAAACTTCAATATTTTACAAGAAATCTGAATTGAAACAAAATTTGGTACAAAACTTCACAACTCAAAACACTATAGGGGATGCTGTCAGCTTACTCTCAAAAGTTGCTGATCATGCCTCCGAGTTTGACTGCTGAAATCATCCTAGATATGCTGCGTTTTGTGGTGTCTAAAGATTTTCAAAAACTTAGTTCTACAAAAACATCAAATCTTGAAGTTCTCAACACTAAGATGGGGTGCTGTCAAGGTACTCTCAGGAGGATTTTTCTGGTCTCCAATTGAGACTGCTGAACGGCCTTTACTTTACTTTGATATATTTTTTTCAAAATTTGTAAAAGTTGATTTTCAAAAAAAAAAAACTTTTCAAAATTTGACATTTTTGACCCTTTGGTGGGCTGATATCAGGTTACTACCACCTTTTGCAGATATGAGCTCCATCACAATATTCGTTCATTAACGTGTATGAAGCACAAATTTTGAAACTCCCACACCTGTAGTTGGGTGCTTTCAGGGTACTCTCAGATTTTGCAAATCTTGCCTCTAGATATGAATGCTCAAATTCCTTTTTTCCCAGATATGCCGTTTTTATGATTCGTCAAATACTCAAAGCACCGGAAGTGTGCTACACGCTAGTAGTATTTAAGTGAGGGAGATATATCCAGCCATGTCAAAGCCAAGCTTACGTATATAAGAAACGTACGCTATCTCTCAACATATTTCAGCTTCAGTTTGTGATACCATAGCTATGCTGAGCCAATAGGCTCAAGCTCCTTTGCTAACCTGCGGGTTTTCATCTAGAATAGGTTTTGTGCCTTATTTCATTGTTTTGTTTCAAGCTGAATGTTTAAACTGAATGAGGCTTTGCAATGTTATATCTAACTTTGTTATATATCATTTTGTAAATTTCAAATAAGGGATAATTGGAGCATTTTTTTATGCTTGGCATTACTCGGTTCGCGCTAATCTTTTTGTTCGTGCTACTCTTGATTTTGGACGTCAGTTTTTGTTTTGGAATCTGAAGCTAGAATTTTTAACTGCTTCATGGGATCAGTTTAGTCGCCCTCCGCTGTCTGTGAAGCATCCATCTTGCTCTGTGAGTGTTATGGAGGCTACAGAGACATGTCACAGTTAGTAGTAGCAGAAACTGTAAAGTGAACAAGTTCAAGAAATTGAATTAAACGCCTTGAGGGCCTTCAGGCAGGGAGTTTTCGGGTCAAGCAACCTTCCTTTCAAAGCGTATGAAATGAATTTTTCAAATGCGATTCTCATTGTTTAAGAATTTAAAAAATCTTCTATTTGTTTTTTTTTTGTTAAAAAGACCTTTTGTTTCTTTGTAGTTACTTAAAAAGCGTTTTTTCAAAGTTCCTGTGTGTATTTAAGCTGGCAAGTAGTAAGCATTATCAAATTGGATTATAGTGTTTTTCCGGTGTACCATATAGATCAAGTTTAGTCGAATCACTTGTTGCTATGCTGCTGACTATGCTGATATCCTGCTGACATGTTGTTTCACGAAAATTCAAATTAAACTACTGGGTACTAGTTACTACTAGTGTATGCTTCATAAAGAATGCAAAACATTTTTTAAAAGAAATATCGCTAGGTACTTTTTCAAGCAGAAGTTGTCCATATTTTTAAAATAGTTTTGGTCTAATTTTGTCAGCTTCAGTGTTCTTCGTTCTTTTTTTTTTTAGCGTTTTCCATGTTTTGATTAGTTTCTTCAAAAAGTTTGATCATCTTTTTATTTGAAAATTATTCACTCGATTCAAATACTTTTCCGATTGTTTCCCAAAAAATATAAAAATTAAATAAAATTATGCAGTTTTTGGCTCTTGTCCTTTGGCCTTTCTAGTTTTTAAATTCACTCTAGTTTTTTCATTAGTTTGTTAATAGTCATTGCTTTCTATTTGTTTTGAGAATATCAGATTTAATACAGTTATAATTGTGTACATTTTGTAAAGCATACTTAAGATAAAAACAGCGAAAGTGTGCCCCAAAATTGTTTTATAATCATTCATTTTTTTTCAGACTATAGTGAATTAAACTATCCGAACAAAATCCATAAAGTTTTTAATTTCAAACGCGTTTTTCTCAATTTTTCTTGACTTTAGTCAAAAGATTATGAGAACGAAGGTTGCTTAAAGTTTTAATAGAATGATTATAGTGCAATTTGTTTTGCGAAATTGTGACCCAAAATTTTACCCCGAAAACGTATCATTTTAGCCTTTTTAGTCAATTAAAAGTTACACCAAAACTACGAAATCAATTACTGTCAAAGTTATATTGAAGTGAGTGTCTTATGGGGCTTAAAAAATTTAAGTGGGTATAGTCTCCAAAAAGCTGCGCGAAGCGCTCAAAAAATTAAAGTTGTTTCAAATTTTTGTTTTATATAGTAAATATGACTTTTTTGGCCATCAAACAAATTAATTTTATTTTGAAATGTTTTGGGGAGTGATTTGGTCTTGTTGGGCCAGAGAAGAGGCTTGCTTTTCTATAATTTTGACAGAATTTGGTTTTGTAGTTTTGGTGTAATTGTTAATTGACTTAAAAGTCTAAAATGATCCGTTTTTGGGGTAAAATTTTGTGCCCGAATTTCGCAAAAAAAAATGCACAAAAAAAAATTCTGCTAAAATTTTTGGTTCTCATTTATTTTTTGTCTAATATTAGCCCAATTTGGCCCAACGCGTTTTAAATTTCAACCTTAAAACGTTTTTTTTTCGGATAATACAAATCAATTCAATTGTACTCGACAAACGTCATGAAATGTGGTGACTCTAATTCGAACAAAAAAAGCAAGCGAGCAGGTTTGCAAGAAATAATTTTGCCTAAATTATGTGGAGACACTTGAACAGTCTGTAAAATAGTGCTGCCACACCAAGTCGAGCGTTGGAAGAGTTAAAGAATGACCCAGTTACTGTTTTTGGTATCTTGGGTAGTCTTGATAGATTCAGTCCGGCTTCTTTTCTGGGTAGGTTTACAATTTAACGACACACGAGCTTGTAACCATCGATCAATTTTAATTTTTTAAAGAAGGCTATTCGAAACCATCAACTAATTAGCGTTGAATATAACTTAGCTCAAAGTTGGGCGTTCATTTCATTTAAAAAATACCAAGTTTTGTGATTTTAGCTGTTTTGGGTACAATAACAATTTTTTATTTAGACTCAGAAGATATGTAACCGTTGAACTGCCATCTCTCAGTTTTATCAATCATCGCTTGATTCGGTTTTTCAAAAAAAATTAAAGGTTAAAGTTAGACAGTTACTAATTGTAGCTTGTTGAAATCACTTTGATGTTACTGAGACGATGTGTGCATAATATTGTATTGATGGTGTTTTTAGCCCCAAATAGCTGGTACAACAGTTCAAGTGAAAATTCATTCGATGTGAAGTCAAGCAGGCAATTGGTGTCGAATCCGGGCATTGGTACCGAAAATGGATCCTTGCCAATGTCGCAATCTTCCAATTTGATGACCAACTATGTCAGATCTTCTGGTCACCAAGCAGGCTTTGCCCCTGCCTCTCACAGTTTTGTTAATTCAACGCCCAGTAGATCAATCGGAGTTCAATTGCCACAGCATGTGTACCATACATCTCATATGCCAAACCACCAAAGCATGAATTATCACCAAAATGTACAGAATCCCCCCTCAGTGTCAGGACTTCATTATGGACACTCGAAGTTCAATTACAGTCCGAAGACGGTGAATAACAATGTCATACCCCACCATACAAATCCAATGGCAATGAATCACTTGAGTCCAATGAGTGGTGGCATGAGTCCTTCGTCGGCTCAAAACAATTTGACAAACTCGCCGAACGCACAGAGTCCAAATGCTGCTGTGAGTTGCTATCTGAGCAGCGATCTGCAAACAGACGTCTTCAACAAATCCATCGGGACGCCATTTAAAAAAATAATTTTATTGTTTTTTTTATGCTATTGAACTCATTTTTGCCCATTTTGCCTCTTCCTCTCAATTTTTTTTAGAACTGAAAGGCATAGGTTGAAATCATATGAAGTTAAATGGCGTCTCCTTGCACGGGGTTGTCTCTAGAATTGTTTGGTCACGTGTCTGAGTACCAACAAGTAACTGCAGCACTCACAGGCAGCACGTATCAGTCCAGCATACCGTTCAATGTAGGAACATACAAGTATGTATGTCCCTTGGAAGCCACGCAGTTCTCCAATGGGACCAAAAGCAATGTCTATGGACTGGTGACGTCATGTTATTCGGCGATCGACTCGCGAGATGGTCAGAAGTACTTCTTAAGGAGAGTGCATAATTTCAGACCTGCCACGAGCAAGGTCAATTGGTTCATAGAAGCTTGGAAAAGAGTGTCACATCCCAATTTAGTTAAATTCAAGGTTAAAATTGTTTACTTTTTTGATCACACTTTCCCAAATTAAGCTGTTTTTTTTTTGGTAAACGTTGATGACACGGTACCTTTAGACCGTCGCAACTTTCTAAGTGGTTTGACTCTGAGCGTTCAGCTCACTAACGTTTTGGGATGTACGAAGATTTAGAATTCGTATTGAAAGTGGCGTTTGCGTTTATAGTTTGGCGATTTGAGCATGTTTAGTTTAGTTAACTGTTCTTGAATCTGTTAGCGAATTTGAGTTGTTCTTAGGAGGTTTTCACAACAAGAGAGTTCAATGACCCCTCAACTATTTTCGTTTACGACTACCTGCCATCGGTTACGACTCTGTGCCAACGCATAATCTCTACCACAGCCGCGGCAAACCCCACCGCCCGAAATTCAGGATCCGTACCCAAAATTCTCTTCCCGGAGACACTCGTTTGGAATTACATTGTACAGCTGACTTCTGCCATGCGCGCGGTTTTTCACGCGGGTCTAGCTTGCAGGTACGCGAACAGTTTATATTCTCGTTTTCGGATATAATCTTTTATCCAGGCATAACTTCAACTTAAATAACGTACAATCAAATTAGTCATTTTTGATTAAGGGTAAATTCAAGTTCGGAGTTGTTATTTAGCAGAGTGCTTGCTGGTAGATATAGTTTTTATGAGTTAGGAGTCCTAAAAGTGCAAAGGTCACACAGACGTCAGAGTCCCCTTTTCTCGCTCAGTTTTAGGCTTTGATGATTTTTCTTGTGTTTTGTAGGAGTATAGATGTGACAAAGATCCTGGTTGATTCTCACAACAGACTCTACCTCAATGGAACTTGTGTGCAAGACGTACTGCTATGCGAACATTCTCCAAACATCACTGTTAGTAAATACCACCTTCCAATCCATCTCGCATAAAATAGAGTTCATTTTGGTAAACAATTTTGCTGCATGGTATTGGCACTTTAATAGCAAGTGTTCTCCGCTTTATGGGTGGATATTCAGTGAACGGAAGTAACACTGTAGTCTATAGGGCTGTCAACTTGGATGCTCGGGACCTGTGGTTCGGAAACCGCAGAGGGCATTCATTTTCTTGCCTTTTTTAAAAGCTACATAGCGTTTGTCCTCTGTGTTTGCGAAATGCAACTTCGCCTCTGTATCATGACTTACCAAAAAGACCTTGTCAGTAAGAATTGATTGCTCAGATTTATACGTGAAAATGATTTACGGTTGATGGTACCGGATACATTTTCACTCTGGCCAGTACTGTTAAATGTTCTGACCACGATGATTTAAATTGAGAAATTCTTTAAGTGGAGAAAAAATTGAAAAATTCAGTTTAAAAAGTTTCTGTTGATTAAAAATAAGGTTAAAAAACTGCAAGAATTTGAGGTGATGTTTGTTAGAATAATCTTCCAACTGTAAAAGAATATAATACATTTTTCACTCAGATTTTGGGTCATATAGTCTAGAAAACGAAAAACTCTCTGGATTTTTTTGAAGTCAAGTTTTTAATGGAAGGTCTTCAATATGATGTAACACTTGACCCCTACAAGTGGTAACAATATTGTTTGACTACACTTGACTCGTGTGTTCTGTTTTTTGTTCAGCGTCCGAATGATGTGGTGTTGATTCAACAACAGCAGCAGGACGACATGAAGAATCTTGGCAAGGTCACAATGGCACTTGCATGTGGGTCTGTGATGGCGCTGCTGCCGGAGAACTTCAAGAGCTCCTATGATCTCATATTCACGGGCGGCCAGTTCTCAGACGACCTGCGTAACTTCATTAATTACATCTTCACTAACGTCAACGTCCGCAAGAGCCTCAACGAACTAATGCCCATGATAGGTTAGTACCATAGCACTACGGGTCAAGAATATTAAGGACAGCCTAAAATCAAACTTGTTTTTCAAAGCGACATCAGCCATGAGCTGCTTGCTATACGGATAAATAGATGTATCAGTTAACCGGAAACTGGAGGACCACATCACTAAATTGAACGAGCACCATTCAATAACGTAATCAAATGAGTTGAAGACTTTTTGCAAGGTGACAAAACAAAAAATGAAATAAAATTACCTTGCCATGAACCCGGCAGTTTAACCTTGCGATAAGCAAGGGTTTTGCAACCGGTACTAGGTTTTCCCGTAAACAAATTTGATCACAAGATTTTTCAGATGTTTCATCTTGCTTCATGTTAAATTCAAAATCAATCAACTACCCTGCGGATCTGGTGTAGGAGTAATACACCCGATTGAGAGGGCCAAGGCTTGTAGTTCGAATCCGGTTGGAACCTGTTTTCTTTTTCAAATTAGAAGTTTTCTGCTTCTTCGGACTATTGTAGTCTGTTTAAGAGTAATGAACGCGGTGAAGACTCTTATATAGGTTTTTTTTCAGGAAAAAGTCTTAGAACATTGATGCACTTAAGTATAATGCACTTTTTGAGTTAGTTGAAATTCATCGGCTGAAAGTGACGTAAATAACACTCTCCAAATACGAACATGGAAATGGAGTGAAAAAACGTGAACGATTTCTAGCTTCGACAGTGGAATTTATTTTTAAGGTTTCCCAGCGGAATAAAAATTTTACCTATTGATCCAGGTTTCCATGACTTTTGGTTTCCTTTTAGGTTCACTTCATTTCCTTTGTTAGAAAGAAGGCCAGCTCCACTATCGAACAGCAAAAGCGTAAAGGTCACGAAAAAAATGGTCGACTTGTTGTTTCGTAATTGGAATTTAATTATCAAGTTTCCCAGCAAAGTAAAAATTTTGATCTTTGTCCAGTTTTCTCAAATCGGGTTAATTTTATCGAAAAAGCGCCGCTCATTAATTGATCCAGAAGTTCAAAGAGTTTTAAGGGCATCTATCTTTTTCTATGAAAAGTTGAGATTTTTTTTTTCAAAAAACAAGTAATTGTTTTCTGTTTAATTGCGTTCATTGACTCATTTCCGGTCTGTTGTCTATGTTTTGTCGGTTCCCCGCTTTTTAACTCTAAACAACTTAAAACCCTACAATTTCACTCCCTACTTTTTGTTGCCTTAGCAATATAACATCGCTACATTTTAAACCAATTTCTATGACTTAACACCTTTTTAATCCAAAATGAAAAGAAAACTTGATTTCGGTAACCATCAAAGAATTAAACGAGAGAAATTTTTGCCATTTAAAGCCAGACAAGTTTGCGCTACCTAATTCGCGTAAGTTTTGAATAGAATTGACCTTGCAAATGATTTCAATGAAACGTTTCAAACCAAATTGAAATGGCCGTGCCAATATTTTCAATGAATCATTCCAAAATGAAGCAAAAACAAGCAATAGTTCAATGAACTTCAAAAGCCCGCAAATAATTAGACGTCCTTCGACTAATATGGCCTAATTTTCTAGACATTTTCAGCCGGTATAGAAATAAAAAAAAAAGGTTTAACCAATGCCAAAAGCCTTAAAATCATTATTTTTTAGAATCATTCTCGAACTTAAACTTCTGACGTGATCGCTTTTTCAGCTTTTTTTGAACTGTTGGCACATAAACGCAAAGCGAAAGGGTTTGCCAGCCCGTAGTCCCAACCTAGCATCCCGAAAATAAGGGCGATTGACCTGGGATTAAATTGCTAAGGTACGAGTCATGTTCTTGCGTTTAGTTACGTTTCCGGGAGTCTGCAAGGAAACGTCTTTTCAAAAAAAGCTGACAAAAATTTGAGTAGGATTAAAATTTGAAGTTTAATAATACGAAAGAATAAACAAACATGAAATAAAATTTACAATGGTTTAACCCAAACTAGATAACGCTCTGAAAAAGTACAGATCAGTTTTGTCTTAGTAAACGGACATTATGTTTTGTACTCTTTCATTTAATACTCGATACTTTTTCTTTTTTGTGATTTATGGCCATTCGATCCATCAAAAAAGTTGAGTTTTTGTACGGAAGCGTCTTTTTGCAGGCTACCCACTACTTTCCACATATTTGGGTGGGCTCCGCTGAAATACGATTGAATCCCGAAGTGCCATCCCTCGACAGCATTTGTTGTTCGAGCAATCTCCATCAAGGCCGCAGTTCGCTGGTTCCAAAGGGAGGGTGAGAATGAAGCTTCACGGTTTGGCACCAAGCTTTTTATATAAGTAGAGCCGAAGTACAGACACAACTCGTCAATTGTCTCAATTTTCTCGGGTTCTAAACAATTTCTGTCGCATACATTTTGAATTTCCTGAACGATCATGTCATAGGAATCGCCGATCTTTTCTTTTTTTTTTTCAAATGCAAGGGATGGCAGCATTTTTAAAGCCAGCGCTAAATCGTGATTCGTTTCGTAGGTCACTTTCAGACCCAATTCATTAATTTTTCTCATGTAACTCTGGGAGAGATGGAAAAAACAACCCGATAAATGTGCTTCGGGGAATGTTTTTTGGAAGGGCTGAAGAGCAGCTTGCTCAAAATCTAATAAAATTTTTTCAGGCCGGCAGTTGGGTGCTAAACCAATTAACGCCTGCAGGAAGCGATTGTAGGTTTTTTCGGTTTTGTTAGGAAGGAAGGCGTAAATGCAAGCTGGCGCAATGCCAGATACACTAACATGAATTGAATAAAGCTGATAGAACATTTTTGGAGTATTTTTAAAAGTTCTATCGGCTAACCAGAAAGATGACTTCTCCAGAACTCTCAGCATTTCGGGGTCGCCGCACAAAATGATTCGCTCATGATCATTTGATCCACTGTCATACCGGATAAAATTTTCAAAAATTTCAGGGATCTCGAAATTTCGCGCAACGGGGATGGGCGGCATATTTACATCTAGCTGCTTACGAGTGCGAGCAGCCGTTCGGATCAGTTTGTCTTTACTTGGGAGAGCAAACTGAGTAGCCAAATCGTTTGTAATTGGCAAAACCGCACTGGCAACTGCAACAGTCGGGGTAAATCTCTCGCTGAGATCTTTTGTATGCTTTATGACATTTCGGGCCTCCGATTTTCCCGCTGAAGTGTCGTGGTTATGCTCTCCACGCGTCTCGATTAATTCCTTATTTTCAGTAATGGCAGTTGTTCGACATTTATTTGTTTGATATTTTGAGCAAATCCAGTTTTCTGTAAACTTATTTTTTCGCTTGAAATAAAATTCGTGGCCGGACGCTGTAAGGATTGGCTTGTTTTTAGATGAAACTGTGAACTCGAGAGAAGACTCAATCATAATGTGTTTATTGTGTTTGCGTTTGTTTATCACTTGAGTAAAGTATAAAGTGACTGTCAGAATTTAATTTTGTCAGAATTTTTACGTCAAATTGTTATGAATTAGCACAAGCAGCTTTTTTTAGTAATCATAATAGTTTAGCGAAAAGTCCAATTGAAAATAAATTACAAACTTGTAGATAAGAGTCTTAAGTAAATTGGGAAGCCTCCTTTTAGCATGTATAACTAAGATAAACCAAGTTTTTCATTATGGTGCGTGTGTTAATTGCAGGATTAACTTTGGTGTGATAAGTGTTAAGATAAGGAATTCATAGAGCATTAGATTTAATAGTGAAATGACTAGGTGTCAAAATGTACTGTGTTAAACTGGAAATTAGGAGTTATTTTGTTGTCGATTTAAATTGTTTAGTAGTGAAATGACTAAGTGTTAAATTGTACGGTGTTAAATTGTATGTCATTAAATTGTAGGACACCGTTTTGTCATGCAAGTGTGCCTAGGTGCCCGCTTCTACGCGCAGTTCGAGGCCTCTGAGCTGAAATGTGACCAGCTGGAGCGTGAGCTGGTGAAACAAGTGCACAATTCACGTCTGATGCGCCTCATGGCCAAGTTGGCATCCATCAACGAGAGGCCAGAGTTCAATCTGGACTCTTCTTGGAGCGAGACAGGGGACAGATACTTGCTGAAGCTGTTCCGAGACCACGTATTTCACCAGGTGGGAAAAACATAGCTCAAACTAGCTCAGATAATTAAGGGTCAATCAAAGGTCGTGTGGTTTTAAATCGTTTACGACAAAGAAGAAGTACACAAAATATGCAGATATGGCTATATACTATCATAGCACCGCTTCGAGTGGTCACTATCACGCTATTGGTCTGTTTTAAGGCGCCACGAGTGTGGTTTTTTGAGAACGAGTGTGATTGCTTTCAATTTTCAAAAATGGCCTTCAATTTTCAGAATTATCAGCAGAAAGAAAAAATTACCTATGGGCACAGTTTTCTCCAGTCGAGTTAAACGAAAGTGTCAATCATAAAAGATTTTTTTTGATACATAGAGCTTCAAGGCCATATATTTTATTCATTGAAAATGCTTCCTAAATGATCTGTCCTTTTTCTTGAGTTTTTTGGCACTTTTCTCATCTTTTGGCAGTGTTTTTGTTATAATATTATAAATAATATTACACCAGCAAGCTTAGCGTTATATTACTAATCTATTTTTTTTTCTAACCTAACTCGCTAATCAAAATGTGGCGGTACTAGTGCTGCATAGCATTGACATTTAAATATCATATGTTCTACCTGCTTTATTGCTGGTTAGTGTTTGCCTATTGTCAAGTGACCATGGCACATACGCGAGGACATGAAAGACTTTTTCACGGCTTATTTGTAGATTTTCTTTTCACATTTTTATATTTAGAGCTTATTTTTGCCGTTTCCTTGCTTTTTTTACAAAGTGCAGCTTCTTCTCTGTCTAAAAATTGAAACTAAAAAGTTGTAGAGTGGATCATGGATTCCAAGAGGCAGTAGAAATTTTCGAAATATACCTTGAGCTTTCTATCCGTCTTCTTACTGTCAATTTCTTAACTTGCAGGTTACAGAAGACGGTGCGCCGTGGTTAGACATTTCACACATTATAAACTGTCTGAACAAACTGGACTGTGGCGTGGACGAGAAGATTCTGCTCGTGTCCAGAGACAACCAGAACGCACTGGTTGTGACGTATGCTGACTTGCGCATGTGTCTTGAGAACAGCTTCACTGAACTCAGTAATCCAACACTGACAAGGGCGACGGTGGATGTGAATGCTGGTTCCGGGGCATACATGAGTGCCGGTGGCGGAGTGGATCGGCAGAACGGACTCCTAGTTCAAGGACAACAGCAGCAGCAAACATTGTCATTCTCAGCTGCGGGATCGTCGTCGGTTGGAGGGTTGCACAGCCACGGATCATCTGCGATGGTGGGAGGAGGAGATGCGGCAATGACGTCACATCACAATTCAGTCACAGTCAATCTAGCCCCGGACGCCACGAACGTAGAGGGACACGGGGGAATCATGGTGAACGGTATTGGGGGGCAAGCATCAACCGCTACAATTCACATGCAGGCGGCTGCTATGTACAATGGGACTGTATAGAATAAAGAAATAAAACAAACTCAAGATTGCTTGCTTGCTTTACAGCAGATGTTAAGTGCAAACTTCGATCCCTAATTTTTGGGGAGGTAAATGGAAAAATGGAGAAGCTGTGAAGGAACACGGGGAGACACAAGATTGAAAGAAGAAAAACAGTAAATTTTTCAGACCACAAATTTTATGAACTTTGGTGCGCACTATGATAACAACCTTTTTGGTGAATGGTGTAGTTACGATGTTCTATTAAGTTTACAACACTTCTGTAGTAACCCTAACTGTCTAGAAGTAGATCAATAAGTATCGTAGGAATCCATAAATTGTTGGCCCTTTAGATTCAAAAAGCTCGTTGAAGTTTCCTAACCCGCACTTGAAGGAGACAACTGATTTCTTAGCGCTGTATCATCATAATTGCCATCCATCTCTTTTACTTTGAAATTAGGCCTCCGCTGCATTAGAGAAGTTTATTTGAGGAAAATAAATATTTTATTAATTTTAGTGTCGAATTTGCGTGTAATAGATCTGTCAGAATTTATCGAAAACAGTATTTTGCAGTGCAAAGTTAACCCAAACTCGTATTGCAGCTCAATGTCTATGATTAATGAACTCGGATTTTTGAGTCTGCATTAGTAATGATAGAATAGATCCAGCCACACATTGTCTTGCAATATGGATACATTGAATTATTTCCGTTTCGTCTATTTCTGAATCTCACTGTCGCAATATTGTATATTGGATGTCTTTTTTGCCCCAAAAGGGAAAGGTCAAATGCGACAGGTGACCCATGGTGTATTTATAAATCTGCTGAGTTTTCTAGTTTCTTCAGGCGCATTTTTGTTTGCTTTATTCGGGCATCGTTTCTCGTCTGGTGTCTGTTGTTGCTATTTGTCCTGCTCTTCATTAGCGGGTATATTTTTGTAGTTTGTTCATTTCAGTATCTGTGCTAAATACTAGTTGTCATAGAAGCAATATTTGTACACCATTATTAAAAAGAAAGTTGAAAAAATTACAAACATTTGAAAATCTGATAGTGTTTTTCAAGTAAGGAGACAGCACACAAGATGAGCAAAAAGTTAATGTTATGCTGGCTGCCAAATTTATTATAAATGGCATCACAAGTCAGTAATTTTATGGTGACTAACTTAAGCATCATAGAATTCTACGAATGATTAAGAGTCGATAAACGTGGTACATATTCTTATAAAGGTTGCGATGATTTTTCAGGAAAGTCATAAAATTTATTCAGGCTCAAATTTATTTTTTCGCGGTTTGTTTTTTGATTTTTTCAAGTTCAGTTTATTTCATTTTTTAGAAGAAAGGCAAACTCCACCATCGAAAAGCGAAAATGCAAAGGTCACGAAAAAAATGATCGACTTCTAATTTTCAAAAATTGAATTTAATCAGATTTTCCAGCAAAAAATAAATTTTACCTAAAAATTAATTTTACGTAGTGATCAAGATTTCTCAAATTGGGTTAGTTTTATCAAAAAAATGTCAATCATTAGTTGCTCCAGAAATTGAAAGAGCTTAAAGGCTAGTTTTTTTCTTTGAAGTTCGGAAGTTGAGATTATTTTTTAAAGAGTAAGTCGTATTTTGTTCTGTTTATTTGCGTTCATTGGCTCTTTTCCAATTGTCTGTTGGCTATGTTCTCTTATCGGATGTTTCATCTAATTTGTTGATGATTCTGACCATTTGACAATGAAATATCAAACGCAGAAAATTTGCGTTTGAATATTTCGGGAGCAAATATGGCGTTGTGGCATATCTGGTGACGAAGGTGACCAGCTATCTGGTAATCGCGGGTTCAAATCGCTAGTGCAGTGCAATTTGCAAATTGATCGCTTGCAAGATACCAATAGCTGCATTGGCTCATCATTAAGTGAGCTGTAGCTTAACCTTCAATAAGTAAACCCCTGTGTAATACCCAAATGAACTAAAGACTATTTAATACGATAAAACGGCGGAACAAAGCTCAGCACAGGTGAGTTGGAGCTTCACACCACTTGCGTTACAACATAATCATGAGGAAATTCAGAAGTAAAAAAGTAAAAGAATTTAGAAAAAAGTTAGTTCTAAATTGTTTCTATCTTGAGCAGACATCAGTTGAGCCGAAAAAAATGTTTTACAAAATTTTTTAAAATTTTAAGTGCCCCCAAAACTACAATGATTAACATATGCAACTAAACGAGACTTTTTTGTGGCACCAGAAAAATCCGTGACGAGGAAATAAAACCGCTCAAACTTAAGCAGACAAACGAAAGTCTGACCATTCAATTTTTACCGGAAAAAGTTTCAGTTTAATACATGAAACAAAGGTACGTCCAGGACTCGAACCACAAATATTAAAATGCAAAAGAGACCGTGTTACTTCTAAGCCAAGTGGAAATGAATCTGGAAGTTGTTCAGGTTCAATAATTAACATTTTAATTTCTAATAGTAACAAAAGTGGTTTACGGGAAAAATTTCAAGTTACTGATTACAAGACACTTGCTCTCGTAAGTGTAACAAATGCTAAAGTCAATCTATACAAAAAAACCTATGTAAATATAAAAACTACTCATAGTGCAATTGGAAATTTGTAACAGATTTTGTATTCGATGATTCCTCAGAGTTAAAATAATATATTGCAATTTCGTGTAGTTGTTACCACAAGAGTAGTAAAATACTGTAACTTAACCGTTGCAAGTAGCAATGTTATCGCAATTGGATACTAGATTTTTAAGGGAAGGAATATTTCCTTTCGATTTTTATTTGAAATTTAACCTTTGCTGATTGGCTCTTAATTTATGTCTATCTATATGTATATCTATACTATATTTAAATGCGAGTGACAGCTATCTCCCATGTTTAAGCATAATAATTTGGGATTTTGTCATAGTGGGATATTGTCAGAGTTTTCCCCAGTTTTGCGATTCTGGCCTCCATATATGAATAATCAAATCGTTTTAGTTTACAAGATAGACATTTTTCGTCGAGATTCTTCCCGTAGTTGAGTACTGTCAGGGGTTGCGAATCTTGCCTCTGATTATGGCTGCTCAATTCCTTGTAGTTTTCGTTTTTTAGGATTTTTTTTCAAAATTTTTCAGACAATTTAGATACTAAAAAAATTGCACAGAATTTGATATTCGCATCTTTGTGGTGAGGTTCTGTCAAGGTACTATCAAGAGTTGCGAATTTTGCTTCCATATGACTGCTCTAATCCGTAAAGTTTTCGAGATATGACGTTTTTTCTGATTTTCTCCGAAATTTTCAAAAAAAACTTAGATGTTAAAAAATTCCGAAGCGTTGAAGATCTCAATCCTGTTATTGGAATCTGTGAGGGTTTTCTCAGGGGTTGCGAATCTTGCCACTGAATATGGCTGCTCAAATTCTTGTACTTTTTGAGATATGACATTTTTTGTGATTTTTTTCAAAAAAATTTTCATGCAAATTAAATTATTTTTTTTTTCAAAATTTGAAATTCCTAACCTGTAGTTAGGGGCAGTCAGAGTAATGTCAGAGGTTGCAAATTTGGCCTTCAATTAAGAATGCCCAAATTTTTCTTAGGTAAAGAGATAAGACGGTTTTTGTGATTTTTTTTGGACATTTTCGGAAAACTCAAATTACAAAATAATTCACTAAATTGAAAATCCAAACCCTGAAGTTGTGTGCTGTCAGAGTTTTTTCAAAGATTGCGAATATTGCCATCAAGTAAGAATGCTGAAATCTTGGTAGTTTTCGAAAGGTGAAGTTTCTCAAATTTTGAATTTCTATAAGAGTACTCTCAAAAGTTGCAAATCTTGCGTTCAAATGCGACTGATCAACTGCTTTAAGTTTCTCAGATGTGACGTTTCTTAGTTCATTTTAAATTTTTCGAAAAACTTACAAAACTTCACAAAATTTTGTGTTTCTTCAAAATTTGTTTAAAAAGCTTGAATAAAAAACTTCGCAAAATTTGTAATTACGAACCTTATAATTGGGTGATGTCAAAGTACACTCGAAGAATGCAGATCTTATTTCCAGTATATGCGGTTTATTATGAGTACCGGAGGTGCGTTACACGCTAGTCCTTCTTAACTTCAACCCATCTATTATGTCTAGCAGCGGTGAACCCTTTAACACCCTAGTTGTGAGAAAGTTTTATGTGTGCCTTAATTCACTTATCGCACAAAATTGGTTGGCACAAATAATTATTGTAAAGAAGTGTATGATATACAATATTCAAGCCCTTTCAGTCGTGATTCGAACGACATTAAAACAATTTTGTGTCGAGAAAAATTTGTTAGAGTTAGAGTTTTAGTTCAATTTCAAGCGCATGCGTATAATAGGGTGATAAAATTTTAATTAAGCCGTGAAAACCTTGTTTTACCCAATGCAATTTTTTGAAGTTCATTTTTGGACCTGCTTGCTTGTAGGAACTTGCAAAAATTGCAAAAATTTTTTTGATGTTGTTTCTTTTCATTTTTCGATTAAACTGATGTTAAATAATCTTTGTTTTTTATCACTGAGTTTGCCTAATTTGTAGGCTTTCGTTTTCGTTTTTCATCACACTACGAACAATAAACAACCCACTTCGAAAAAAATAAAAAACGTTTTTTTTTTTCATTACTGTATTATTGTTCGGAAAAGTTGTCCACAGGACCCATTTCTGGACTCCTTCTAAATCCGTTTTTGCAAATCCTCTTTTTTTCGTCTTCGGTGCAAATACTACTCCCCTCGTTGGCAAGTATTAAGCATGGTTGAGCTTGTTACTTAACATATCTGTCCTTTTCAAATATTGCTTTTTTGTTTGTGATTTTTCCAACTCGGTTTGTTAATATTTTGTTTTTTGTTTTTTTTTGCCGTTTTTTTGGCTTAATAAGCTCAGACTTATTTTATATTGGCTTAACGGCCTAATTTGGAGTGGTTTCAAGAGAAGCGTAGTTTTTTGTTCTATTCTGGATTGCACAAAATGCTGTAAGTCTTAATAGAAATTATAGTTCAAGTTTTTCATGACGACAATTTTTTTTGGCTTTTTTGTTTTCTTTTTTTTTCGGCTTGATAAGTTCCGGCCTATATTATATTAGTTCAATGGATGCATATTGCGCCTTTTGGTAGGCGAAAAAAGTCTGTTAGTGCGTGTCTTTATTTTGAGGGCGAGGGTAACTTAAAAACTTCTCATTAGTTTTGATTTTGCGTTTTTTCTTTTCGTTTCTTTTCGACTTGATAAGTTTTGGCCTATATTACATCGGCTTAGTCGCCAGATATTGCGTTGTTTCACGAGCTGTGTATGTGTTTTGAAGGTGAGGGGGACTTTATAATTTTTTAGTAGTCTTACATTTTTTTCGGTTTGGTTTTATTTTCCTTTTTTTTCGGCCTAAAGGTTTTGGCCAATATTATATCGTCATATTGCCGCATATTGTTTCATTTGACGCCTGAATACAGTTTGTGTGCGTTTGTTTTGAGAGTGTGGGGGACTTGATAATTTAAAAAATAATAACTCGGTTTAATGGGTTTCTGCTAAGGTATTCTAGGCTGTTGCCGCGTGATTACTTTTCTTTCGATGCTAGTTTCTTATTCTTTTGTCTTGGCTCGTTGTTGTTTCAAACCTCTAATCGATAAATCTGGGTCGAATTTTTCGAACTTTTTTCGTCTTACCGGCTCACGTGTTTTGTATCGCAAGTGGTGCGAAGCTCAGCTTCGCCCCTGTGTAAAACATGCAACTGCTTTTGTGCTCTGTTTGATGCGGTTTTCCTGATGCTAATTGTTGTAGCTTTGATTATATTGTTAGTTGGTTGCAAAAGTAGTAAGCGTATATGGCACTAAATTTGGTTTTTAATTTTAAGTTCGAAAAAATTCTGCTGAAAAAATTCCTATTGAGCATGGTTGCTCATGAACACTTCTTAGAAAAGTATATGACGCAGAAGTTTCTGTAATTGAATCAAATTTACTATTCTGTATCGAATCAGCAATGTGCTTTTCGCCTACGTAAACTGCTCGTTTATTATTTTGAAGACAACCTGTTATGCTGAAAGCGTAACATGAATTAGTATTCCCCACACAAACGTCC